AATAAAAAATAGATTTAAAAATAAAAAAAATATAATTCTCATTTTAAAATAATTATTTCAAAAATTCTGATCAAATCAGTTAAATGTTTTTGTCGTCATTATTTTCAGAATATTGCATTTAATTATATTGCGCTTTCAAGTGTTGAGACTTTTAATCAGTAACGAGAAAAACGATTCAAAACTTTATTTGCATATAACTGACATGGATATAACTTGAATGGCAATATCTACAAAAGAATATTGTATGAATTTCATTCCGAGTCTAATATCCGGTAAATAGCATTAATATCCAGTGAAACATGTGTCCATAATGGAAACAATTATTATATTTGCTCTCGCGCAAGAGAAGACACTCGTAAATACACTCTTATATCAGCGTTACGTCTTCGCGATTATCAAAGCGGAATTGCGATTCCAGTGATTCTCGCTCTGATACGAGGGTTCTGGATTTAGTTTACTGAGTAGGCGGTATAAGATCTATATATATGCTGCGTTGGAATTATTGGGTCAATGAAAGTGGGGAATTACGATGCTATACCGTAAGCGTGTTTTCCGATATGAGAGAAAGAGAAAGAGAGAGAAATTGATGCTGTCGATAATAATTTTTTAAAATGTACAGATTAAAATGATTTCGCAAATATCTTAATATTCTATGTAGAGGGATTGTTGAAAAAATTACAACAGAGATGTAAGATCGAGTGACATCATGCAAGCATGTTTATAAGATGAAGTTTGCGAGCAAAGGTAACTAATTTTCTAATCGCGACACATGTTGAGGTATGTGACATATGTGTATTTCATGCAAAAGTGAGGAATAAAAAAAAGATCGAATTCACGAAAAAAAATAAAAATTTTGCCTTTCAAAAGAAAGAAAAGAATATATAATTAATTTTAGAATATTTTAATATAATAATATCTTTTTGTGTATTATATATGAAAATTTAAAATATTTAGTATTTAATATTTAGTATTTAGTAATTTAAAGTATTTGATTTATTAAAATGAGATATCATATATTTTTAAAATGATAATTATAATATAAAATTTTTATTTAGAAAAAAACGTAATATTTTTAAATTATAGATGATATATGCAAATATAAAATTTTTATTAAATACGTGGTATCTTCATACTATGAAAGAGATTAATGTTAGAAAAACAGGAAATTATTTCTTGATATTTCAACAATTTTTTTATAACTCATGAGACGTTTATACTTTGAGTATTGCGTCTCTAAATTATTTGATTGATGGACTGCAAAGCGACACATTGACATCCGGTAAGCTGTCAACGTCGATTTCACGGTTATTATGTCATAGCTCTGACAACTTCACTGATTCTTTTGATTTAATGACAGATTATGAATTATAACGTTTTTGTTAATTCACGAGCTCTCTGTAGCTCATGTAGATACGCATAAACATTTGCATGTGCCCGGAAGCTACACTCTTTTCTGCAAGACTTTATTCTTTATTTTTTGTATCTCAATAACTCTTGCTATATTTAGTTTGAAGCAGAACTTCTCGATTGTAACTCATGAAATGTGTTAAAATGTATGAGGAAAATTATTGTAGCAATCTTGTTTTATAAAAAAGTAATTAGAAATTATTATATACACATGTGGGATAAATGTTAGTTTTCTAAGCAATAACACAAATATTCAGTAATATTTTTTAAATTCTTTAGAAAAGAGTCATTTTTATAACTTTAATCATACGTTAGAGAAGTATATGTAAGAAAAAAAAGAAAATGTGCAAACAAAAAGCGCAAAAATATATTTTGCATCTCGAAGATGCAAAATTTATATAATATTAATTTTATTTTGTTGACGTTAATATTCCTTCTTTCCAAATGTATAATTTATGCTGCAAACTGTTTACAGTAGTATTTAGCGATTGATATCGATATTTCGTGACTTGCCGCATTATTTTATAATATTAAATGCTGGTATTTAGTTACCATTACTTCGATAATTTCAGTATTCATTAGGAGACTTGACTTATCCGTACAATAACTTCACAGTGCTTAAAATAAAATTTGATTGCATTAAAAATTTTTTATTCCGTTATTCAGAGAGCGTGTGCTTTCTAAACGTGCCATAAAATCGAAACTTTTAAATTCCAATATATGTATAACGATTTAATATTATTGGATACCGTGACGTTGGACTTTGATTCTGGCATATTAACACATTTTCGTGTAATTTTAATTTTAGACAAAATCTCTGAAAACCTGTGGCTTTGCATGTTTATCTTCATGAATTTCTGTGAAATTCATCACGCATTCCTGACCACATATTTCTATGGTACACACGCATAATGACATTGATGGCTAAGGAACTACGTCTTTCGTTGCTACATTGCGTAATACATGTCAACAGCTGCTGAGTTAGATGGTCATTTCAAAAAATTACTTCTTCCTATTTGACAGAATAAAAGCAACTATACAAAACACCAAACCATGGCTACAGTTTAATTTCTTAGAATCATCGAATAAATAATATCTTAAAAATTTTCATGATTATAACTAATTATAATCATAAATATTTAAAAAAAAACACGTCTTTTTTTGCTTATAACAGTTTATATGATAAAATATCGTAGTTAAAGTTAAAAAAATTCACATTTTTAATTTAAATGTCAGCAGTAAGAAAAAGTCGAAATTTTTGTTTTAGAATGTTATCGAGTATTATTATAATTTTGCATAATGTCTATTAAATATTAAATTGTGGCTTCTCGCAAGACGTGCTTGGTTCCCAAATTTGCTTATTTCGAACATGAAACTAGAAACTCGTATTCCTTTCGTTAGCGGACTACCAATAAGAAGGTTTGGCTAATATAAAATTCTAGTAACACGCGCGATCGATTTCTAAGCCAATTTCAAAATTAATCGATTCTGAAAGAAAGTATGTGGATTAAAACCATTAAACTTATACGATCGTTTTTATCAAATAAACGCGACATATCCATTCAAAGAAAAAGACTTTGCTGTTGCATGAAGTAATAAATTTTCAATATGTAAAGAAATGAAAAATTAAGGACATAAAATGGCTGAGAAACACCAGCTAAGATTTTCCATATCTTTTCTCTTCTAAATTTGTGCAGTATTTATTATTAATTGTGAGAAAAGCAAAGTAATCTATATTAAAAGTTAAATATATATATATGTA